GGGGTAGGGTATGACCCTACAGGTAATGCCAGCATGACAGTCGCGACGGTTGTGATGATGGGGGGGGATGTTGCCAACTTGGACCCGGCGACCTCAGATCCCACAAAAAACAGCTGAAAGCTTGGAGCAACCTGGAGGGAGGCCAAAAGTAGCTTTCCAGAGCCCAACATGATAGCTCAATATAGGATCCTTGCTGTAAGGACCTGCAGATGAGCTTTCTCAGCTCTTCTAGCTTCAAGAAGCCCCCAAGTAGAGTAGATTCATAAAGGACGATCGAGCTATCACAAAGAGTATTAACTGTAGTATCTCTGGTATGGTACAGCTATCACATACATAGGTTTCATGAAGACGGTATCAGGCGTACAAGTTGCCTGGACTGAGCGAATGCAGCCCTGGCGTCCCGAACCCGATTGTGCTACCACCTTGTGCTGATCCGACACTACCCTGGGTTGCAGTGCTACTAAGACCATCAGCCCTGATTTTCCTAAACTCCTCTAGAGTAACCTCAGGGCCAAAGTCAAAGTACGTACCATTTAAGTACCATAGACCTGAGGGGCAAAATTGGAGGGCCACCTCAGTCATCAGGCCTTGGATCTTGTCCGCGACCTTGAAGGACAGAAGTACCCTTTGGCCTTTTTTCTTTTTCAGGATTTCCTTATTAGGTCTGAGTAACAGGAAAAGGGCAGCATCAATTTTAAGGGGACCCTAAACCAAAGCTCTAAACCCCAAACTTTAGACTGTCAACCCTCAACAAGACAGTGGGGCAGCCAGAGGATAACGTTCACTGCTTGCGGTCCGAGAACGAGGAGAGTTACAGCGACGCGGTGCAGGCTGAAAGCTGACATGGACTCCGGATTTCTATGGCTTCCTTTCACAGGGTTCTACCCATAGGCCCCATAGTAGTTCCTTTTTCTGGCTTGTATGTAGGATCCTATCAGGTAATCCCAAAAAGAAGCTACTATGGGGCCTATGGGTATCTTAAGAGTTTAGGGTTTGGGTTTATCTGCGTTCATGCTGCCACAAGTCGAGTGCAGCGTGGAGAGAGACGGCTGTCCTGGCGTGTTCTGTAAGGGTTACTATATATTATATATATGATCCCGGTTCGGCCGGCCCCTCCCCGTCCCCCCCCCGTCCCCCCCCCCCCAATGGTTCCTCCTCCCCGCTCCCTGTGGTGTGGTGTGGTTGTGG